ATTTGTGGCCTGTGTAATGGCAATGCTGTGGCAACTGCAGTTTACAGTGTGGTGTTCTCACCATGTTAACCCTTTTAGTCGTATGTATCATATTTAATACATGGTGTTGTATGGCATCAATGATGTCATCAACATGATACATACTTTCCCAAGAAATTGTACATAGTATGTGATCTATTACATGTCTTCTGCCCCTTAGTGGATTATCCATGCTCTTCAGAAAGTTGAAGGACTTTTAATAATTATTAATTCAATAATAATAGATTTTTAATAATAATAATTCCTGAAATATTCACCTCCAAATCACAATGCACATTTTTGCTAAAAAAAAGTTTGGCTCATTTATGCAACTATTTTTTGCTATTACTGCCATTGCTTTTTTATTGTCATTGCTTTTTCAAAATGGACTAAATTTAAGCAGCTTATGCTTTATTAATATTTCATTCATTATCTGTGGAACAATCATGATGAAAATGTATCAAACATGAAACAGCAAGCATTTGAGCTATTGATTTTGTTAACATTTTAACTTAGCGGTGTGATTTGTTCACCATAATACAGGTTTATCACCAAATAATTTAATCAAATTATCAAATTTTATTATGATATATACATAAATAACAGTTCACCATCTAAATAGCCATCTACATATATAAAATATTTTTATTCAATTACTCATTTTTCACTTCAATATAATTATATATTTTTTCTCATATTTACTATATATTCTATACATATTTTAGTATTATTTAAATGCTTTTGTCTAAATGTTCAATAGACAAATCGCTTTTTTTTTAATTTTTGACTATTTAATTTCAGGTTTTACAGGGTTAATTTAGGTTAATATAAATGTATGTACAGTTGTTTCTTGTTAATTCATGCTCATTCGTGAAACATTAAGTAATATTCAATTATACAACTTTAAAATGTTCAAATGTACTATTATACATAGAAATTATTAACCAAGATTAATATAAGTGTTACTAACTATGAAATTGTGATCATACCATGTGCTAACCACACATAATCTGATTGCTTCTTTAATATAAAATAACTACTTAAATTAAGTGTGGCCCTTTAGGCTAATGGGAAGCTGTGGCCCCTGAGCTTTCCAATGCTGAGTAGCCCTGCTTTATCTTCACAGACTATCTCACCCGACAAAAGCTTTTTACCCACCGCACTCCCTCCCTGTCCAATAACCTTCCCGACTGAACTCACCCATAAGGAATAGCAGTCATTCTTATGACTTTAATGTGCAGGTTTACCTCAGTCCCACGATAACACATTGTGTGTTTGGCCTCTGCGTCGTGTGTTGATCACAGTATAATCTATTTATCGCCCGCAGCTCTGCGTGACCACCCATGCCGCACGCTTATCAGATTACCACATCCCCCCTAGTACTGGGAGAGCAAACCCGGAGTTGCAAACTCACCATTTGCAACTTTATGAAACTGCACCGCAGATATCTACATAAGCATTTTCCCCCGTGGCTTGGAAAACTACAATCTATCCCGGCACTGATTCACTCCTCATGCAGAAACAATTGCGAACTGCTCAGTCCTGGAAGAAGCTCTGGGGGATTTGCGCCTGTCCGATGGGGACTTGTATCCATATATTTGATTTAGCACACATGAATGTCGCTGCCTAGATCAGCCCGGCGCTGAATGCATCAAGCCGAAGCACGGAATGACTCCAAATGAAGGCTGCAGCTCCTTATAACCACGCTAATGTTATCAGACATCTTCACAGTTCTGCAGACTTGCTTGTGTGAGGAGGTTCATAAGTTATTCTGAATAGCTTCAAGTTCTGATGTGAACGTCAAAAGATGGTTCATTTCCATATTTTCTCATTTTCTGCTACCTGGGCCTCTTGTCATTGCTGTAGAAGTTTAGAAGAGAAGAATCGAGGTTGAAGAGAGTTCATTCAAACATTCGTGCCGTTGAATACAGTTTAAGATGTAGGATTAGCACAAGCCCATCTCCGTTGGGGCCACTCGCGTCATTCCAGCCAGAACCGGCTTGCATCGTAAGTGTGATATTGTCCTTCTTCTGAAAATAACATTAAGGATGCCGTAGTGTGAATCGGAGTGCTTGGCATTTATAAAACTCTCAGGTGAGATGATGGTGTTCTTTCGCGCTCTTTAATTTGGCTTCACATGGTTGAGGTGATTTACCTTGTTCCATGTGTGCTTTGCACAATGCCAGAGGACCCCTGTGCTCGCATTTTAACAAAGTTTCTATGGCAACGTGGCCATTACTCCAAGTTGTTGAGGATGCTCAGCTGGAGGGGGTTGGTCACAAGTGCCTACACATATCATCCAAACACCAGGATACAGACATACTTTAGGGACGAGTTGATTCCAATTTCTCATCCTGACGGTTAATTTATGCTCATAGCCGTATGTCACAGGAAGCTGATTGGGGGCCCGATGAGGAGATAGAGCGCATTGGTATTCATTTCTAGGTTTCAAACATGGACGGAGGGAGTCGCACTTGCAGGTATAGCTTATCAAAAATATACGAGGGTGTTTCAAAACATTTGCATAGATTAAAATGCCATTGAAGGCAGGAGTTCCCTGAATTCTTGGGACCCTACGTACCATCACTGGCATCACTTATACACTGTCTGTTCTTAAAACATAACATAGGGGCAGTCATATTAGTGAGTTTTCAGCAAAAATGTGGACATAATTTGTCAGTAGTGTACCGATGTATGAATCACTTTCAAACCAAGCTTTCTATTGGTCAACGTGACAAATCTGGTTGACCATCTTGAATGAGAATACGTTTACATGACAACGATGTACTAAAAATGTTTTTGAAAAGTTCCGCGTATAGACGACAATGTTGTCAAAAGGATCCCCGTTCACACGGATCCGTGAGAACGTCTAAAATAGCTGTATTATGCATGCCAGGCCAGTAGATGGCGATGTCACTTTGTATAGAAACACCATGCGCTTTCCTTTACACTGAACACGTAATGCGCATGCCCATGACATTTGTGTTTCTGTAGTTTACACATCCTTTTCAAAAACTTGTACTTGAAACCCGTTTTCAAAGGTTTGGGTTTTTAAGGCTCCCAAAACGCTGTTATTGTGTAAATGAATGGCCAAAACGCATACAATGTTTTCTTTTTAGTTGACAACTGTGTCACGTTAATACCCCCTGAATGAGGAAATATTTTGCCCTCGCATGAAATTTTCAATCATGCAGATCCCTGTTGAAATGACTGGATTTGGATGTTTAGTCGTAAAAAAAAAAGAATCAACTCTGCTCTTACGACATCTCATTTCACAAAAAAAAATGAAAACTGAAATACTACTACTACTACTACTACTAATAATAAAAACTAATAAAGATGATTTATGCTCAATGCACGCTTAAAACAAAATTACATAAACTTCAACTAAAATTATTATGAAAATGGAAACTCTAAAAATAATTCAAAATATTAAAGTAAAATAGTATATAGTTGATACACTAGGTCTAATTCGAGAAAAAAACAATTTCTCCAATGAACTGTTTAAACCGGTTCACAACACCTGTCTGAGTGATTTGTTCATGAATCAGAGTGAATCAGTCAGGTAAATAACTAACCGATTATATCATCATTGAACGGAGAACTTGTATCTATGGATGTTGTACTAAAATGAGCAGAGATTTGGAAAAGATCATTATTAAAAAATAAATAAATAGCAGAAATGTACTGAAAAAATCAATAATAAAAACTTCAGCCGCAAAATGATTTTTCTTTTTCTATATTACAATTATGCAAATTCTACTTAGCTTACGAATTAAGTTTTTATGAGCTGCAGGTTTTCCTCAAAAATGTACTTTTCCCAAACTTTTTGAAAGAAACGATTGACGCCAATGTTTCCGCAAACAGACAGTTTCAGAAATGATAGTCACTCACTCAATGGTACATTTCTGCATTTTGTGGATCGTAACACCGAGTTCACCTTTCACATACTATTTTAATATTCTGTCAGCGCCTCCAAATTTGAGAACCTCATTACTAGGGGAAACATATTAAGAGAGAAAAAAAAAAAGTTTCCCCGAGTCACATTCTAAAGCTAAAATAGTGTGTGCGCTGCTTCTGGTTTCTTTCACTCTGTATCATGTGAAATCCTAACTCTGTGAACGCAATACTACTGCACTTCCAGGCAGTGCTGAGTTCTCGACCATCTGGGAAGCAACACATCCCAGAATGTGATGATGTCAGCTCGATTAATTATATTGCCTGGTGCCTGAGAACCTGGAGCCACAACTCAAGTCTTCCTGAAAGTTTGGTACAAAACATCACTGTGTAACTGGAGCTGCTCCTTTCATTATGATAAACTGAATGCTGGTCTTATTATAAAAGGTTGTGATATTTCAGGAGTAACCATTTAAAACTGGGGGACCCCTTGGTGAGCAGAGAGACGGAGCAGAACATGTTGTATAAATCTGAGTATAGCATTTTAAGCCTGGCTTATAATAACATGCAATAATTTCCATATTAATATATGCAGTACCTTATGGTGCTGTATTGCAAAGGCATTAAAATAACCCTTATAGAGATTTAGAGTCATAAACTACATGATATTTAAATTTGACCAAATGCGTTGCAGGAGGTACAATAAAACATTTAGCTGAACTTTAAGCTTTTTGCTGAGGTTAATATAATATTGTACTTTGGTTTAATGCATATTTACGTTTCATCAAACAATAATATTTGGCGGACCCCTGCTGAAGAACCCTGCTTTAAAATGATGTTTATTCAGGAGTCATAAGCAAATATGGTTAACAGATCACAAGTTCATATTAAAATATATGATTCAAATATGTGAATAACTAATGATCTGCTATGAATTATATACTGTAAGCAGATTTATCGGCTTTCTAGATTATTAAATGGTGTTTTCCTGTGTAATGATGAGATGAGCAATGCAATGAGGATATAGATATAATCCTGTCAGAATAGAATGATAACTGTTTGTGTTTGTGTGTGTGTGTGTGTAGCTGGGAGGTGTTGCGATTTCTCCTGTCAAACCTGCGCTGGTGGATGGAGGAGTACAGATTTGATGGATTCAGGTTTGACGGAGTGTCATCTATGCTCTACCATCATCACGGGATCGGTATGTCCATGGAAAATGAAGCATGCAATCTTTTTACTTAGAATTGCTGGACATTAACAACCTTCTTCCCCTGTAAATGGCACAGTCTCTTATTGTAGAACAGGTAGAAAAGCGGCTTACACTTTACTTGAAGGGGTGTGCATAAGACTGACATGACACCTTCATAATCATGACATGACACCTTCATAATCATGACATGACATCTACATAATCATGACATGACACATGTCATGAATATGAAATTTTTTTTTATGCATGTTTATGACAACTGTCATTAAGTGTCATTTGTTCAGTTATGTAATTTTTAATGCAAAGATGACATTGTTTGAGATGTCTTTGTTATGGGCTATGGTTAGGGGTAGGGGTAGGGGTAGGTTAGGGTTAGGTCAAATAATGTCATATTTGCATTAAAAATGACATAACTGAGCGAATGACACTTAATGACAGTTGTCATAAACATGCATAAAAAAAAATTTCATATTCATGACATGTGTCATGTCATGATTATGAAGGTGTCATGTCAGTCTTATGCACACCCCTTCAAGTAAAGTGTTACCGAAAAGCGTATTGGAAGAGCAGCCGTTTCAAGGGCAGTTTCAGTAGACTGCAAGCATGTAACGTAAACTCTCAGAAATGAACGGAATTAAGCAGGAAAAGCATGGGATACAAGTTCTTTCAAGCAAGAAATTAATTACACAAGTAGTGTGGCAAAGGTTATCCTGGCATTTTTCTCTTTTGCTTTTTAATTTTGTACCAGTGATGCTGCTAATGATTTTCGGTAGGTTTTCAAAGATCGCTTTGACTAAAATGCTACTTTGTTTTAATGAAACATGACATTAGATTCACACACACTCACACACACACACACACACACACACACACACACACACACACACAGAAAAAGGGTTGTTGCGAGTTGGTTTCATTTTTTAAAATTAGTTTTGTGTATTGCTAATGAATTATTATTAAAATGTAACCATCAATTGTGGAATCTGATTTCATCTTCATATTCCCTGATTCTCAGGATCAGGATTTTCCGGGGATTATGCTGAATACTTTGGACTCCAGGTAGACGAGGATTCTCTTGTCTACCTCATGTTGGCAAACCATATTTTGCACACCCTCTATGAAGACTGCATCACTATTGCAGAGGTAAGCCACGTTTTGTTTTCTGAAATGCATGGAACATAGAAGCTTCCAACAGCACATATTTATGAAATGTGAGCTCAGCAGTTCTTGAACTGAATTGTTCCTGTTCTTTTTCTGCTGCTTTGAGATGACGGTAATACAACAATATTGTCGTAGTTCCCAACAGCCATGGCTTATACTGCAACAGTATGACTGTTTTCAAACAGGTTTCCCACGTACTCCCCGTAAGACTTTTCAAATTTTCTGAAGCATGCAATAGCTTTGTGTGAGAAACTTATTATATTGTATTGTATTGTATTGTATTAAATATATTCATGTAATGCAAAGCTGAATTTTCAGCATCATCACTCCAGTCTTTAGTGTCACATGATCCTTCAGAAATCATTCTGATATGCTGATTTGTTGCTCAAAAAACAATTCTTATTATTATCATCAGTTGAAAACTGCTTAATATTTTTGTGGAAACTTTGATACATTTACATCTGAATAGAATCTGAATTACATCTGAATTTGAATAGAAAGTCAAAAAAGGGAAGCATTTATTTGAAATATATGAAGTTTTGTAACATTATAAATTCTTTACTTTCACTTTTGATTAATTGCATCCTTGCTAAATAAAATTATTAATTTATTTTTCTTCAAAAAAAAAAAAGATTCCAACTTTTTGAAGAGTAGTCCACGTATAAATTATTTATTTGTATACAATATTTTTATATTAAAAGCTTATATTAGAGGCAACAGCTTATGCATTCATGAAGTATAAATTAATTACAATTTAAAACCATTGTGAATTTTGGTTTGCGACCCGTTTTGCTTCCATAATCTGACATAATTGATGTTTTTAATATTCAACTAGAAAAAAAAATGTGCGGGACTATAGGAAATTGATTGGATATTAAAAAGTGTCCGTTAACTACCAGAAATAATGTATGTGCATATTCAATTTTGGAATATTAAGTGTCAGCAACACTAGCGCGACGTGCCAATTTAAATATGCAAAAGCACAAATGAGATCTGAAGATTATCAGTGAATAACAGTTTAAATTGTAGAGTGTACATTTTTGGGTGAACTGTTCCTTTAAGTAAAAAGGTGTCTCTCTTTCTGTACTGGCTACTCTCTTCAGAATATGCAGCAGGACCATCCGAAATGACCATAATACCTTTAGTCATGGCTCGATAACCTTAATCTTGTCAACAGCGACACTGTATCCCAACTCCACAAAGACAGAATTAACCTTTCAGGATCAACGGGACACAGTGCATTAAATTAGCACTCAGTGGCTCTGTCTAAAGCTATGATTAATGAGACCACTTACTTTTTACTTACTTTGTTCAGTGTTTTGTAATTAGTGGACAGCGCCCACCAGAGATATCATATAATTCGCTTTTATGAGCTCCATTGATAGAGCTGGACTGTGAATGCTAAAATTGGCTTACATTGCAGGAAACAATTAAATAGCATAAAAACAAACTACAAATATAACAAAAACTAGGACCACAGCTACTTTTTGTATTCAGCGGTTAATTCAATTTTGCACAGCGCTGCATATTATGTTATACCCTGCAGAAAAGACTAGAATGGCTGGAGACCACTGCTAATCTAGTCAACAAAATTAGTGGCAAAAATGGATGAGTTTTTTTATTTTGTCAGCAATAACACATTTGGCTGGTCATGTGATCCCAACATGTCAGCCCTCGTGAGGCGACCCACTCTGCGAATATAAACAAATTAACTTTTATTAGGCCAGATATGACTGGAGTCATCATTACATTTTAATTTTCATTACATTACACATCTTTTTAATGTATTAAATGTTTTTTTTATGTTTATCTTTTTTATGTTCAACTCCTATGAATATATATATATAATATTTCAGTTTTTCTTTTTTAATAAATCTGCAAAAATGTCAACAATTCTGTGTTTTTCTGTCAATATGGGGTGCTGCGTGTACAATAATGAGGAAAAAAAATTAACTTAAATGATTTTAGCAAATGGCTGCAATATAACAGAGTGAAAAATTTAAGGGGGTCTGAATACTTTCCGTACCCACTGTATGTGTGTGTGCGTGTTTGAAATGTTTTAGGGAGATAAAATTACCATGTGCATGTAAGTTTCAAATGGCTTCAGAAGAAAATTTTACTTTTTGCCATTTTGAGCTTGACAGACTCTGGTATTCTTCAAAGCAGGGATATTCAATTCAAGTTCCAAAAAGTCCAGTCTTGATCTTTCCTTCCAAGTGAGTACATTGCAAAAAAATAAAAATAAAATATTCAAAATAGTTATCAAAGATGAGGATATTGAGCCTTGAATGCCAAAGCAGTGGAGTCTGAGAATTTTTGTACAAACAAATGAATACATTTTATCGGTTGAGCCCAACTGGATGTGAATGTTAAAAAGTAGATCAGATGTTTTGACCAGGTTATTATTATTTTTACATTTATATACCTTCATATGGCAGAAGGCCAGGTGAATGAGAAAAGCACTGTATGTAGGTTCAGGGTTTTCTTCTTAAAGTCTGAAGTCATTTTTATATTTTGCTTATAATAAGTGTCTACTAAAAACAAGCAAACGGCGTAATACATAATCATAATAACAATCAAAATAATCAAATAAAATATTCACATAACTACAATCAAAATGTGGTGCATCATAAGCAATATAGACAGACAAACAGATAGATAGATAGATAGATAGATAGATAGATAGATAGATAGATAGATAGATAACGAAATATAGATACAATATAGTCATTTGTATTTCCAGTGTTCTCATTTTCTGCAGTGTATAGTGAAAATATCAATCTATTTTGCTGCTCACCATGTTTCTGTTACTGTTAAAATAACCACGTCATCTGCAGCTCTTGTAGCGCATTATGTCTTTAGTGGGGGAGAGAAGCAACGCACACAGGGCGGAAAGAGCTTGAATGAAACGTGTTTGGCTCTAGATAAAAGTATTAGAGGATATGACGGAGAGAGATCAGTACTATAAAAGACCCTGAGCGCTTGTGTGTACAGCTCCATTGTTTTGATGCACTGCTCACGTCACACTGTAGGAATTGTAAAATGGTGCTACTGTTGGCATTATGGTTCACCGTCCGATTGGAACTGTCCGCTATTTGAGGAGTAGTTTACCCAAAAATGAAAATGTGTTGAAAATGAACTCACCTTCGAGCATCCAAGAGTCAGAACAGATTTGGAGAAATACAGCAATACATTCACTGCAGTGAATGAGAGAATGAGAGTCCAAACAGCTGATAAGCAAATGATGTACAGTAATGCTATTTTTTTTCCAAATCTGTTCTAATGAAGAAGCAAACTCATCTACATCTTGGATAATCTGAGAGTGAGTCAGTTTTCAGTAAATTTTCATTTGTTGGTGAGCTATTCCTTTAACAGTAAATCTAACCTCTCCATAGTGTTGTGTTTTTAAGAAATTCATTCTTTTTTTAAGGATGTGTCCGGTATGCCCACCCTTTGCTGTCCAGTCCAAGAAGGAGGTCTGGGTTTCGACTATCGCCTGGCCATGGCCATTCCAGACAAATGGATTCAAGTGAGTGTTTTTTCTAACATCAAATGATGAATGTATGTGAATGAAAGTGAATGTCCTGTTAGCTCAATTATATTCAACACGCAGCCTTTTTATCACAGACCAAACTACTGTACAGTCCTACTGTAAGTGTAACTGACAACTTACTGCACTTTACTCGCATTTCAATACTTTCCCTCTGGATAGTGCCAGTTTGTTTGAGCCACATCATGCTCAAGCCATTTCAAGTGTCTCATTCATCATGCACTTGTCCTGCTTTTAATTCCGAACGAAACATGTTTCTATCTTTTTCTCTGGTGAATGAGATTTGAAGATACAGTATCCAGAACCTATTCCAAATCTAGACTGACAACCAGCGGATCAGATAAATAGGGCGTATCTCATATTTTTCTAGGCAGATATATGTGAATAGTGTCTAGGACACGTTCTATACTTTCTGTAATGTTTTTTCTGTCTTTTTTTGTGAGTGTGCATAATTAAAAGTATGATTATGGGCGAATCTTCAATCATTTTTCTTAATTAGGGTTCTTCTGTGTTCATCTGAAGCAATCCTTTGTTCTGTTTCTGTGGGTATGCATGTTAATGAAGGTCTTCTCATTATGGATATATATATATTTCAGGATTTCAGGATTATTTTCTTTTCTTGGCAAAGCACATCTGTCTGACTGATCAGAGAGCCGCAGTTGCAAGCTATCAGTTTGAAATCTTTATTTTAGCCATTTCTTATGTCAGTTAACCACTTTGACCCCTCGGTGGGTTTAGCCAGATGTAATAATTGAACTTTTTTTTTTTTAATTTTTGGAAATTCATTAAAAAATTCTGTATCATCTGAAGTAATTAGAAACACATTTGGTTCATTCCATTTTTCTCTGGAAACCTCAAGTGGTCACCATGATTTTAAACACTTGCATATATTCTGTTTAACATATTTTTGGTATATAAATATATATTTTTTCATATTATTTGTGTTTTACTTTGAAACCAGTTCGCTTTCATTCATAATTCATAATTATTTGTAATGCTAACTACAGGATATTAATGGATTGGTCCTTTAAATGATTCAAATATTTATTTACATTACAAAAAAAATCATAATATCTCAGTCTTGTTTATCAGTAAAACACTTTATAAAACGTCATTTAATTTACAAGTGAAATTTCCACAAGGACTTATGACGTAAAGCTTATTTTAAATAGCTTTACTTTAAATAGTAGTGACAATTAGATGATTTAATATTTTGAGTGGTTACACTGTCATTTAAAAGTCGGTACAATTTTTTTAAATGGTTTTGATAGACTCCAATGCTTACACAGCTGCCTTTATTTGATCAAAAAATACAGTGAAAACAGTAATACTGTGAAATATTATTGCAATTTAAAATAACTGTTTTCTATTTTAATACATTTTAAAATGTAATTTATTTATGATGGTAAAGCTGAATTTCAGCATCATTACTCAAGTCTTCAGTGTCACATGATCCTTCCGAAATTATAAAAAAATTCTGATTTGCTGCTCAAGAAACATTTCTTATTATGTTAAAAAAAGTGCTGTATAATACATATACTGTATATTGTAGAAACTGTTGTATATATATATATATTTTTTTTCTCCAGGATTCTTTGAGGAATAGAATGTTAAAAACAGCATTTGTTTTCTTTACCAAGAAAGTGGCAAGATGAAAACCACTATTTTCTGTTTCAAACTTTCACATAGCATCTTTAGGTTATAATAACATAAAAAAAAATCTAATCCAGATTTAGATTTTCAAAGATTTATTATAAAATTGTATAATTTTTTTCCCCAAAATGCAATAAATCCATTGAATCAATATAAACGTTATTTTTCATATTGAAACTGTTGAAAATACACAACATAGTAAGTTGATCCACATATGACAGCCTCTGAACTTGGTCAATACTAATCTTATATACAGGCACTGGACTAAAAATACATTCAATCGTCATCGCTCCCAAAATTAATTCAACGAGTAATCTTGTTAATGCTATAAATTAATTACAACAATAAAAGAAAATTTCATCGTGAACATACATGAACAACAATATCACATTAAACCACAGAAATTACAAAATGACATTTCCCATACATTCAACTTCCAAAAGTGCATTCATCTTTGCCGTGTTACATTCATTTATCTGACTAGTGCTATAAACTGTATTAACAAAAACATTAATGGCATAAATAAAAACACTTACACTGACAAGCTACGCAATATCGCGTGCGACTCATCTGCGATTATGAACGCTATATAGCAGTGATCTACGGCTCTGTGTAGTAAATGCCGCTCCGTCTGAAAGCATGTGATGGAGATTTACTATTAATCACAGAACCGGCTTTACTGACGAGATGCGCATGACAATCAAATGTGATTTATCATGCAGCCCTAAGTTTGTTTGTTGATCACAAAGTACAAAATAGATGAGGAAAACTAGGATGCCGGGTGTATTCAAAGCGCCGCCATTACTTTCTACAGTGCGTGGAATGGTGCGTTGAGATTGGTTGAGCGGATATATTGCTTTCTGCAGAGAAGGAAGAATGGCGTTTGTTGCAGTTTGGAAAGAAAGGGAGAAAACATGACAGAATAACTCGGCGGATATCACATTTTGCGTAAAATTAAATATGGACTTTTCAATACCGACCAGATACAATGCTGATTTTGGCAGAAACTCAATTTTTTTTTAAAAATGGTGTTTATCGCGTTTTGGAACCAAACTCTTCAAATATAACCTTTTTGTAACATTATAAATGTCTTGACTGTCACTTTTGATCAATTTAACATGTGCTTGCTGAATAAAAGTATGAATTAATTATTTTTTAAATGTAATCTTCCTGACCCCCAAATGTTTAACAACTATGTTTTTTTTGTAAAACAGTTACATAGTTACTGCATATGAAATCAAAAAAGTGTTATGCATGATTCAGAAAATGTGTAGATTTTTTATTAGCTACATCTAAGATCATACTGAGTTATGAATTACTCTTGTGGGGAAAAAAGAAGGTTTAATTGAATTATTGTGCATATTTAATTATGCGCATAGTTGTGCATTGATCAATGTAAGACCATTAAGTTAAGGATACTGTTTTTTTGTTTTTGTTTTTTCGTTGCAACTTGCGGTTCTTACAGGGATCTTTTTTCTCTTGTATGTTGTAAATTTCCTGTCTACCTTGACAGTCTTATACAGTAAAAGCAAAAAAAGAAGTGTGTGTGCCCTGTACACTGCAGGGGTGACTGTTGGTGCTGAGCGCACAGCCTCCATGGAGAATCGCCTTGCATTGCTAAACAAGGCAACCCAGAACACAGGGCTTTTTACCAGACCAGCAGCATTGGGCCGCATGCTTCTCTTTTCACCGGATGACCCTCTGCGGCTCCACTCCAGCAGGCTGATTCAGTGCTGCACTCTCCGCACACAAAGGTGTCCACTTCACTGACTCAGGATCAGTGTTTAGAGTGGCATAAAGACTGCTGCTTGCTGCTTTTTTTGACATTTGCTTTTTCATACAACGTTGCCCAGCATGCAGTTTTTATTTGGGGCTTTTAATCTGACACCGCTATCGATTTCGTTTTGCGTTGGGGTACCGATGAGACTGCACATTGAGGCCTCTCGAATGACTTGGAGTTTGTTTGAAGAAAGAAAAAGAGCGCATAGAGATGTGTGCAGAAGTGCGTGCGACTCATATCTATGTATGTGAGCCAATATATATTTAATAAGGAAGCTCAAGATGCTCCCCTGCTCAGAGGTCTTTCAAAAACAACAGCAAATATTCTAGACGCACTAAATAACATGGTTCATACTGTACCTCAATAAAAATAAATGAATGAATAAATAATCATAATAATAATAATAGTTATGTTTCTGACAGTTATGTTTGTGAGATCACCTTAAAGGAGTAAGAGCTGATAGTTGGTATTCCACTGCCTGCAGAAACTCTCTCATAGCCACACGCATCCCAGCCCTGCTTTTAACGTCACCCAACCTGTCTGATTAATCCGACCTCTGAGGCCACAATGGCAACCCGACTACATCCGAGAGCCTCTGAGAAATTAAGATGTCCTAATAAGAGAAGCAGATGAGGCTTGCAGCACAAGTTTGCCTGATTGTATCTGATTACCACTCCAAAACACTGTCGCTTCAAACAAAAGCACCCTAATTTAGCCAGTGCCCTTCTGTCCGAGTCCAACAAATTGAAGTGTAATGGAAACAATTAGAGCTAGTGAAGAATGCCTCACATGCTGCTGAGAACAGCAAGAGACTGAACCGCGGCCCTGTTTCCCAGCTAAACATACAAATTAACTTCGGATTGGTCTGAAGTCACCTCTGTCCGCGGAGGTCTCCATTTCAAGTGATTTGCTCTGATATAATAGTCCATTAAAGAGAGAGTTCACCTAAAAATTACAATTCTAAATTATTCATCAATATTTACTCACCCTCGGGTCATTCCATGAAACACACACACACAAAAAGACCGAAATCAATGGGAATGTGAGGAACTTGGAAATGAATGGAGCCAATTTTTGGAGGATTTCGAAGCAAAAATGTCAAGCTTCTAAAGTTAAAAAAAGGACTTGCATTAACTGTATTGTATTATTTGAGCTGTAAAGTGGTTCAAATCATCATTTTTAGAGTTTTTAGGGTTTAAGATATTGTGTTGTCATGGCAAGAGTTGTATAATTGTGTATGACTTTACACAGAAAAGGTTAGAAAGTAAATTTGTCACACTAAAATCATGTTAAAATTAGTTGTTTATGTCTTGTGGTTGTACAATTAAAACAGAGAATGTATTAGGGCTGGACCAGAATATTCGAATATTCGTTCGGTGGGTTGGCATTCGATTTTCAATTTTGAGATTCGAATATTCTTTATTTTATTTTTTTTCAAACACCTGGCATCCCCCGCAAAACGGTTCTCATTCGCACTTGAATATGAATCGCCCATGAGTGAACATCATGAACGTCATGATTCAGTTCATCTGGAAGAGAAGACAAA